AACTCACTCAACTTACCTAGATGCGAGACAGTCCGTCGCTCGGGGGAGAAATCTAGTGAGGCTCGATACGGCAATGAGCTGACGCGCCCCGTCTTGTATGCCGTATTCTATTCCTATCCAGCTTCTTTTAACCTGTTGAACTTGTTAAACTTGAAGTGATGCTACCTAAATGCATTATACTAAATACCTAACCCCTAACCCCTAGGTATTTATCAAGGCTCTTACACATATACATATATAGATACATACATACGTACATACAGTTATCAACTCGGTTACAGGTTTCTCAAAGCTGAGCAGCGATACTGACGTCATGTGCTACTAGACATTCGACCTATTTTGGAATCTAGAATCCTAATCCTAGAAACTCTTGTAATTGTATCTATCGATCAATCATTTCTCACAAAATCCTCATAAAACTTTCCATGGCTTTCAACTCCTTCGAGCCTCGCGCTCGGCTCCGGCGTGGCAGTCAGTTTTATACCTACATTAGTATCAACGGCAGCTTAGGTATTCCCCCATTGGTCTGGACTGCCAAATGGACTGCCAAAAAGTCGCATATTCTGTACCCAAGGTGGCTACTTGGCTTGCCTGCATAGTGCTTGCTGCTTGCTGCTTGCATTCCTACATATACACACACACGCAGTATGTACATATGTAGGGTTGGATGCTCCATACATTAGCTGCTCGCCCGTTGGTCACTCCGACTGGATTGACTAGATTTCTGACTGGAATTCCACCTGGGAAGTCAAAAAGCATTGTCGTCCCGTCTGTCTTACCACACCGTATTCGATATCCGCTACCTAAGTAACGATGTATTGGATATTGTGTATGGCTTCGTGGATTGGTTCTAAACCTTGCCGCACAACGAGCCGAGTCCCCACCGGATTGGTACGTGGACTTCGTGCGTAGCAGATGGGCAAAATGGGTCAAGAGATCGCGGCCCATCTCCCCCTCTCCATCTGTCGGGAGTGGCTGGACCCTAGAAAGCTATTTCATTTGTGCGTTTCTCTTGTCGGCGTCGCTCTGCTGTACGGCATACAAACAAATTCGTTACAAATCTGATGAGCAGCACATACTTTCCTATTTCGCTAGACATGCTGTTTGGTTATTTACCATACAAGACCCTGTAGCCTTGTGCTGTCTGCGGTTTTACAAGCACGAAGCTTACACTCATTCAGATGTGGCAAACCAGACCCCCCCGACTCTTTTCGATTAACTAGCCTTCTTTTGCTCTTTTTGCCCCAGCGATGATCAGCAAGGGGGTAGACGGATGGTGGGCACTTCACCACCATCTATTGGCAACTTATCGTCATCGGTATCTTGCGAAATGCTTCATTTAAAATTACCTTGAGTCGCAAATTTTTATTTTTTATTAAGCAGGTCAGCAATCGGTTAAGAAATCTGAGGGAAAACTCCCTATCGAGGTTGCTATCGCTTCCTCTCTCCCCTCCCCTCCCCCCTCTCTCCCTACCCCCCATACCATCAGATAGTATGTCGAGTGACGTCACAGCATCTGCACATCTGCATGTGCACCCAGCCCGACCCAACAGGGAATCATCCCAGGGTCTTGCCCGCTCCGTGCCAGGTCTTGGCTTTCGAAAAAAAAATTATGAGGCAATCAAATGCTGTTCCATGCGCGAAACTGCCCCGATTTCCCTGACTTCGAAACGAATCATATAGGAAACCCGGGTCATCGGCTCTTGATGAGATGACAAATGGCCCGGATTCGTAGGGCTATTGGAGCGTAGCGCCGAGTTCGAGAAACGGGACACGCGATAATCCAGGGATCACTGCGGACTGTCACCCGTATTTTCTCCTTTTTTGGTTTCCTCTAGTCTTTTTTTTTTTTTCTTCTTTCCCTACTTTCCATGTATGTAGGTAGACATGTGGAAAATGGAGCCCTGATAGGCGATGGGTCGTTTCGGTCGCCACGATTCTTATTCATAGGGACAACAAAAGACCCTTTTTGTCTTCCGTATGTCAAAACCCCACAAAGAGACCGTCAAGCGCTTAGCTGCTGAAAGGAGTGGCCGAAGGTTTCCACTTAGGCTACAGACATTTCTCTTCATTTCATATTGGTCACCGTTCTATGTTTAGTCGTTCCGAATATATCCCTCTAAGCGTAGAATAGCGCCCGGCTAGAGAGGTAGGTAATTGTCCACGAGATAGAACTGATAGAACTAAGGTGAGCTAAAGAGGGTTGATTCACGCGATTCCTCAGTTTCACTCAGCTCCTTAGTAAGGCCTAGGCTTACATAGCTGGCTGACAGGCTGGCTGGCTGGTTAGCTGGTTAGCTGGTTAGCTAGCTAGCTACGCTCCGAGCACGCGAACAAAGTCAAGGTGAAATTACACACGCTAGCGTTTCGAATCGTGGATCTCGTTCGCTAATCCTCCAATACTTGAAAAGGAAATATTTTGAGAACCACTCAACACTTAAGATCATGGGCAGATACTGCATACCATCTTATCTATCACAGAAATGAAGGATAAAGATTTACACTTCGAGATCCAGGTCCGTCTATGTCTCGGTAGATCTATATACTGACTATGTATCAAACCAGTACCGAGGATCTCAGGATCTATTAATCACGCCGTTTACAACCGTTAGTTTTGACATATTGCACTTGTAGTCTAGCCTTTCGGTCCCAAGTCAGGTTATTCAGGTTATCAGGCAATCCGACACCGCTAGATCTAAAGACTCCGCCTGTACGGAATACATACACTACGTACACTACACCACGCGAGACTTCTAAATTACTTGCTAATTATGTATACTCGTACAACATTTTGACAGTTCCGACACGGCCGGTAGTGTAACAGAAAATGCCCGTATCCCTAGCCTCTTGATTCCTTATAAATCCTACGAAGCCGGGAGCTTTTCCCGGCCGCGGCGGAATCACGAATATACGGAGCATAGCGTTGAATTTCATCCTATCGCCGAGCTGTAACTTGATTATCGCATCTCTCTCGGAGCATGGCCGTGAAGAATATCTCTCATAACAAAGTCACGAAAACCAGGATTGTTACAGAAAACTGAGTAAGCACTTGACAGGATAAAATGAGGCGCACGCGGCACGGCTCTAAGTCAAACATGATAACTTCATTATCCATTCCTAACACAACTAGCAAAAGGATCAAACTCGTTCTCGCATATTACAATAATCAAGATAATGTCGATGTTGATTAATATTGTATTAAATACTAACTAGGTATTGCCGGCTTGTTCGTAGTCTGGCCCAACACCACCAGGGGACCAAAAATGATTGTTTTCCGGGAATCAAGTACTGTCCGGGAATAAGATATGTCCACGGGGTGCCGTCACATCCTCATCTGAACTGTCAAAATCTGTGTTTCAGCTTGAGAAGATCGGCCACGGACCCCCTTCCCTTCCCCCCCAATCTGTTAATCTGCAAATGCCTTGCGTGGAAATACTAGGTACCCAACCCAACGCTCATCAGGACGCACGAGCGAATCTTAGGGCCTGGGGGACAGCAAGGGCGGGGAGAGGTGGATGCGAAATTTTGGAAAATTCCGGGGTTGGACAATTATTACTAGTATTACGGATTACTGCCCAAGTAGTTATTTTATTTTTTTGTTGTCTTTTTTAATAAACCCTTTCCCGATTATTTTGTTTTTCCAAACATGGTCCAGCGCAGAACCACCGAGGGGGTGAAGATCGCCAACGGGCTCCCTCCCAACCCATCCACCCAGAAGTTTCAAAAATGTTCATGTGATGGACCTTGGTTTGCCCAACCATCGCACAAGAAGACAGGCTAGCTACCTAGCTGGATAGCTACACCGCGACGGCGCGAGATGAAGAAATATCCTTGGAGAGCTGGGGGCTCCGCGCCGAGCATTGGAATATTTCGCTTCGTATTTTCGTAGTCTAGTAGTAAATCACTACGGGCAAAATTATAAAACCACACTGCTATTACTACGTAGGTGGTTGGCAGGAAGTAGGAAATCTGATTCAGTCACATATTGGTGTTATACGTGCGTCGTATGTTACCGACGACATCGTGCGTGAAAAAATAGCAAAATAAGCATAATGGGCGTAGATAAGGCGGAAGAAAAAAAGGAAGCCATTCGCAGTGCTCTATTCGCCTAGCTGACTTGTTTGATAGGGCACCTAAATGGTGTCATATAATACCACATGGTGCTCTAGCCGATCGCAGCGATCTGCGCGAGTAGTCGACTGCCTTAATTACATGTCATTATATGGAACGATCTTCACGGCCAGTCCGCCTTAAACAGCAGCGACGCGCGATAAAGATCGGTCGTAGTTGGGCGCAGGAACAGCAAAGCCCTTCTGTGCTTCCCCAATATCATATCCCAAGAGCCAATGTGAGCCGCCTCGGACCACGTACATTAATATCTACTTGCATTTGATCCGAGTCTCGTGGGTAAAAACATACGCGAGTACGACTAAGCACGTTTCGTTGGACGGGGGCGATATGGATGGATGGATGGATGGATTCATCATTAATCGTCATTTCGTGTTACTTGGACAGCTTCATTCTGGTGTGCTAGCTACATTAGATTCTCGGCGGTTGCCGTGTAATAAAAAAGAATAAAAAGAAGATAAGAAAAATAAAAAGGACAAATCGAAGACAACGCTGAGGATACCGCTCATGGTACAAAGCGAAATAAAAGACAATTCAAGCGCCCGTGAAACCTCCAAAGCTTGCTTCGTGAGGGTATCTAGTCGAATGCCAATGCCGCTGAACTTATTGCCTAATAACGCCTTTTTACTTCCACTCGTCTGTAGATAAAGACAAAATATTACGAAGACGTATTTGAGGCGGTATCTTTAAAAGTGATGGGAGAGCATTTGAATATTAAGCTCTCCGGGCCCCAAATACGTCAGTCTAATCCATCACACACCGTCCCTCCCCTTGTCCTACCGCTGACGTCCTTAGAAACCAAGCTCTTCAACCCCACACAACTTCATTCTCTGCTCGACGTCTGATTTGACCTGATCCTGTAGAATGTAAGACTAACGTCGCGGAACACCACCCCGACCGAAGCCGCCACCAGTCGAGTTCCAGCCTTGGGTAACGCTTTGCTTCACTATCATCGCAGCAGCAGCGGCCGCGGCCATTCGCTCCTTTTGACGGTGCCTCTCCTTGAGGTATCCAGCCGCCTCGGGTCGCATGCGCAAGATCCGAAGAATCATGTCATCGGATGGGTCAGCCTGAGCTTCCTTCCGTTTTTCTTCTTTGGCCCGGCGCATGGTACCAAGGTTGCGGCTCATCATGATACTTTTACCCCTGCGGATGGTTCCCATGCTCGCAAAAGCTGGGCCACTCTGGGAAGGGCTAAGCGATACGCCTAACGACGCGGGTGCAGAGAGACGATTGGAGCTCATCTGCCCCTGAAGCTGCTGCTGCTGGCGCTGGGCGGTAGCCGCGGCCATACGTTCTGACGTGCGAATCAGGTTATCAGTAGAATCGAAATAAAAGAAGTTGAGCGAGGCGAGCTCGTGATACTTAGGCGATCTAAGGACTTCGGCGGGAACACCAAGAACTTCGCCATCTTCGTCTCGCGCGTTGAAGAAATCGAACAGGAGTTCAAGCCACTTGTAGACAACATCGAGCTCGCGTTGAGTAAGTGGCCGTTGGTTAGACGGCTTATCTGAAAGCGGTGGCACGAGGAGGGCTTCGATGGCCATGAGCACTTCTTTCCACAGACGGGTCATAACCGCAACCATGGTTGCCTCCGTCAAGGTATCCTTCATAGTAGCAAAGTTTTCATTAAAGTACGTAAAAAGAGACTGCAACGCGTTTTCGATCTCGGTATTTGTGATTTGGGGTATCGTGGACGATCGTTTAAAGAATGAATTGACTTGAGAGGCAAGGTTGCGCCCGAGGAGGTTTCGTAATGCTTCGTATGATAGTGATGCGTTGATATGCCGTGTGAGCTTTATGCGAATTTAGTTAGCTGCTTGTCTAAGTAATTTCGGAAATGGAGAAGAATCTACCTTGTCTGTAATTTTACGGACCATGTCACGCTCCGTCCTCTTCAGGTGTCGGAATGCTTTGCCAAAGTAGAACTGTATGTCGTCTCGTTCTCCCTCCATGCTTACTCTTAAAAGTATCCTCCCTTGGGTGTCAAGGTCAAGCCAGAATTCTCTGGGGAGGTAATCGCTGAAATGTATCGGATCAAGTTTCAGCGAGGTTCTGCCTACAAAATCGTGGTCGCCGAAGGTATCGTAATCCCAGATCGTAGCCACGATGTTAAGAGGGCCGGAGACTGTTACATCGACCGACTCATCCCAACGGGGATTGAGAGACCTCATAACGATTCGCGTTTTGTGTAAACGCTTTTGGTACTCGTCTACAAGTACCACGTAAGGATCGCTTGTCCCATTCGGATCACACGCTTTGATTTCCTCTGCTTCGACAATCTTAATAGTAAAGACGTATTTAGCTGGCCTCCTGACTTGTTTCCTAGGCCCATCAACCTTTGCGAGGATGTCAGCACAGGCATCCACATTCATGGACTTTTCGAGCTTATCTAGCTCTTGCATGGCCCATTCGACATTGTTCAGTTTCACTAAGGACTGGATGGTATGTTAGTATCAAGTTAAAACAATATAGTTAGTATTAATCATACCTCTGGATAAAATTGAAACGGTTCGACCCTCTCCTTAGTATTCCAAGCATCTTTAGCGTATTGCATGAACCTTCCTTGCGTCGTTTGGGATGCTGCTGCTGCCTCTTTCTCGTTTGGTCTCGGCGTGTCCATCTCCTTTATAAACCTCTGGTCTACGATCTCGCAGTACCGAGCAATGCTGTTGGCAAAAATCTTCGACAGCGCAGTCATAAACCGAGCATGGTGGACGTCGTTATCCCACTCCAATTTGAAAACCTGATCAGCAGTCTGGTGGAATAGCTGAAACATATCGATTATTGAATGGCTGTGGCGTTCGGAGTCTAATGAAATATGATCGGGTCCATGGCCTCGTACTTGGAATGGATCTTGCTTGATGGCTTCCTCAACGAACTGTTCCGCTCGGGCTTCCGCATTATTGATCCAACGCCAGACGAAGTCAACCAACAACTCTTCAACGTCAAATGTAAAAGCTCGACTTGGGAGAGAGGATCTATGAATGCGCCGAATATCTACAAGTTCCTTGTACAAATCGAAACCATCTTCGAGAGCTAACTCTTCTCCCCGGTCTTGCGCGACCTGCACGATCCTCCTTATCAAATCATGAGCATCGTCTTCGAAATTGGGAAACATCGTCTCCACAAGTACGGTTAACGGGTTTACACCTAGAATCTCTGGGTTCTTCTTGTAACGCTTTTGAATCCTTTCGCAAAGCTTCACGGCCGATTTACCGAGTTCGACAACATGGCTAAAGTTCCAGTCCTGTTGACTACGGGGAACCTCAGCATCGAGAAAGCCGCGATAGACAACTGCGGCCTGTTCTTGTAGGCCAGACTCCAGTAAGCGAGCAAACTCCTGTGCGTCTTCTTCCTTCCGTGAGAAGTCAGGGTCGTCAAAAATGTGATTTTGTAGCACGTGTAGCGCCGGTCCGACCGATGGGGGCTTTGGTTCGTAGCAATGCATCAAAGTATCGTAGAGATCGCGAAGGAGAGCATCATTCACTGCTTGTAGTGTCTGCTTATACACAGTGTAATCCGCAACAGTCCACTTGCTCCGCTCTATAGTCGCTAGGGTCTCATTATAGAGATAGATATGGGGAGGCTTCTTGACTTCTGGCGGTGGAATTTTCACCAAATCAAAGGCATTATCCAGATCAATTACGGTGAACATAGTATCGGTAAACCTGCGGGCTGCTACTTCTAGGAAGACGACTAGACGGGTAACCTGAGGGATTCGCCAGCGAACACACAGCTCTGTAAGGAGATCTATTGACTGCTTTGAGAACAAGCTAGATTCTTCGGCCTCCCCATCGTGCATAGCATCAAACTCAAGGGCATATTTTGCAATGACCTTGAAGAATTCGCGAGGCTCAGGAGGGATGAAAGTGTAATTTGCGTCGTCAACAGCTCTGATACTGCCAGTGTCGTCAAGCGACATAGATCCAAGGTTGAGTATGTTGTCCATACCATACATGGACACTCTATTCGCTATTCCTTGCTCTGGATATGATCTATCTTCTGGATATGGTGAGGGGCTTCCAGGTAATGGTTTATCAATCGGGCTGATAGCAGTGGATCTTCGAGCCAGCTCTGGGCGAGCTGTGAAAATTTCTAGCATCATTTGCGAGAGGAAGGGCGCCTCCGCCTTCTTCCACTCTTGGTACGCTTCAGCGGTATTGAAGTCTTGGCTTCCCAGGGCACCACTCATGTTAGAGTTCAGCCGATGCTGGTATGCCTTAAGATCTCTAAGGGCAGCTTCTTCGGTCCAGGCTTGCCGCTGGGCATCAATATGGCCCTGTACGTCGGAGTGGGAGAGACCAAAAATCTTAGCAACGGATTGAACCATAGGCATATCCTTAATATCGTAGCTAAGTGGCACTACCACTTCAATCGTATTTCCGGAATTCTGGCCTGTGTCAATGAAAAGATTCTGATCGTTGGTCAACAGCTTCTTTTCAAGAGTGTTTAACCTGTCCATGAGTTCTGACTTATCGCGCTCGTGCCCCTGATCACGTAAGATGCTAGATATAAGCCTTATGAAAAGCGCCAGGTGTCTGTCGACGAGAAGCTTCCAGGAATCATCGCCCGGCTCGTGGCCAAGACTACACGCCTTGGTAGCAGCTGAATAAAAAATTAGCACTAACGGCTCGACCTTGCGCTCCTTGTCGATATTCTTTCGAAATGCCTGCTCAGTAAAAGCCGTATACGCTTGCGCAAATGTCTTTTTGACAGCAGCATCGTTATAGCCAGGTATTCTTTCAGCACCCATAATAACACGTTCTAGCCTCTTTTCTAGCGGACTTCGAAATCCATGGGGAAGCTTAACGCCACTAGAATTCCCCGGAACGAACTCCTTAACTAAATCGGCAATGTTGGACGTATGAGTCCGCGGGGGTGGTTTCGGTGCGGGAACCCATTGCTTTCGTTTGGTCTTGGGTTGGAGGAGATATTGAAGATAGGCGACCCGAAGGGCGTAAGTGTAGGCATCGTCATGGTTCACAGCTAATTGCCTAGCTAAGGAATCGGCACGACTCCGTCTTTCGCTATTCTGTAGGCTGTTTATGCGGCGGTCGAGCCGTTGGAAAGATGTCCTCGAGGCGGACGACATAATACAAAGCGAAAGCTAAGTTGGGTCTTATGAACTATTGTTCCATGAATTATCTGCGCCGCATGTTTTTAGCATTGCAAAGCGACCTGTGAAATTTAGGTAAGTAGGAGACTAATTAAGAAGATTGTGTGAGAGATGACGAGAATAGTGTCGGTCAGGCGATGATAAGGTTAGGTATGTGATTAGGTATGTGATTAGGGATTAGGGATTAGGGATTAGGTACAGTTAGTGGTTATGTGGGTTGCAGGTGACGCCGCCGGCAATTCGAACTAAAGTTTTACGTCTAGAAATAGATCACAATTGGGCGGCTCCTGGGGGTTGGGCTTTTCCTTTTACGAGGTGCAGGAGGTTCCACCAACGTCATTAGAGTCATTAGGGTAGTTAGGGTCATGTACCTTTTTATATACCTATTTCCCCACAGCCAACTCGATAGGCCAATACTTAGATTAAATAGGGGAGTTATCTTATTGTTGTACACGTACGAAGTTTAAACATTCAAGGGAGTTGAGGGGGGTTCACTTATAGATTCGCATCCAATGAAAGTCACTAGATACGGTTCATTGACGCATAGTGAGACCCTTTAGTTTCCTTTTTTGATCTCCTTTTTTCAATAACTCTGTCAATGCCTTTTTGTAAGTCACATGGGCTTTTAGTGTAACGCGGTATGCTTTCTTCTCGAAAATATGAGAATTGAATCTTTTTATAAAGTTTTTATATTGCATCTAGCTTAGAAATTGCGCTTGATAATTAATATCGTGGATATCCAAGGCTTGCCGAATCTACATCTTAACCTATCTCACGAGACGAAAATATGATGTGCGGCATGCGACATGTATTTCTCATAGATATGTCCTGCAGGTAGTTCCAGTAACTATATATAATTGATACATATGTATATACATATATGTAAAATATACCTATGAGAAGCGCGCGTTTAGGGTTTCCAAGTTTATTTTTGAATATGAAGAATCAAAGTCCTTCATCAATAAGAATGTTGTAACATTTGAAATTTAGGGTACGTAATTATTTTGCATATAATTGATATATCTTCATCATGGTATAATATCGTAAAGAGATTCTATCTTGGTGGGATATGGCCACTGGTCAATCAGTCAGCTACCTGCCAAGCCGGACAATCCTACATAAGATACTGCCTTAAGTTTCGTCATCAAACCTACGTAAGTGTTATATACCTTCAATCCTTGGATTATAGACTCAAGCTATGTCAAGTGTGAATAAGTATTAAGTATTTACATATATACAGAGGTGATTATATCGGTAATAATGGTGATCCGACCCTAAGAGATGGTAACTACAGATATAAAACCATGGTGGCGATGTGTGTTATAAGACTAAAGTAGATGAGACAGTCTTATCTATTAGGTACTTAGTGTTAATCATATCACGTTTGCTTCAGACTCTTTAAAGGCATCATTGACACATGCATGGATAAGAACTTTACATACCTAAGATATAATGGGCACAATTTAAAGGTGTTAATCATCAGGTCTAATTTTGGTCTGAATAGAATTCCTTCTTCATTGTATTATACCTTACATAAGCACATTTGGCTTTGTAGGTATGTTAGGTACTCGTTGAGAGTTGGGATGGAAGGGGTTATCTGCATGTAATATACCTAGACTAAAATATGCTAGATTGGGTTTTACGAATGCAGGTGCTACTTGCTTGTATCATAGGTCATAGGTCATAGGTCTTAGGTGCATGTATAGGTAACTTGCTCTCACATTAATCGCTTCAAATTTATCATCCTTTTTATATGCTTACTTTCTTCTTCTTCTCTACACCACCTGTTATACAGCAACATAAAAGATTTCTTTAGACGTATTTTACACGTGTTCATTTAGAAATCCCCTGAACAAGATCATACTTTCGAGTAGCACACGACAGAAATTAGAAATACGCAAATACGCAAATACGCAAATACACAAATACGCATTGGATATCAGCTCGTCTTTTGACATCACATGCGGCGTTTAACAGGGTTTTCACTCAGCCTTGTTGTCCACGAGTTGCTTACCAAAGATTTTATACAAGCTGGGCGATGTGTGCCTGATAATAAGGTACGGGTCATCTCAGTTAACCAACCAAATTGTTTCAGCTAGAAGAAGAGGATCCTCGTTGTCCATTGTCTTTAAGTGAACCCCCTGTCCTGTCCCTGTCCCCTTTGCACTTTTTGCCCTGCCCTGCCGCGCTCGTGTTTCTTGTCTGATCCGTTCTCGACTTTGTTCGTGTGATGAATGCCGCGTACTTAACTTCTGCGCCATTTAGGTCTAACGTCGCAATTAATTATATTGTGCTATATTTTTGCCTCTTCGGTGACTCGAATGTCACTTGGGACTTTTGGGGGCTTTTACTATTTTATATGCAAGGCTATATTTGGCGCACTGCGCAGGGCAACACGACGCCAGCTGCAACGACACCACCCCCTTCGGTGCCTTTTGGTAACTTGACCCCGCCAAAATCCACTGTGCGCCTCTGGTTCTAACCGGATTGGTTGCCCGCAACCACTTACCATTGCGGTCGCTGCGACCGTTGCGACACCACCTTTTCTCCAATTTGATACATATCTCTCTTACAACGTCACTAGTTAATATATTAACCTTGAATCCATACCTCGTCTGCTTCTCATCGTATAATTTATACCGGATTGTTATTTCTACATTACTTTCGCGCGGCCTTCATCTGGCCAGCTTCCCTCACCATGGGCGTCGTGAGTAGCAGACTTGATGATGGCGCTGCCATCTATTTGAGGGATCAGAATCGATGTTTGTCAACTTATCTTAGGATGCGCGCAACTGAAGCTGACTAGATATAGTATCAATTGCCTCCCTCGTTATTTCTTGTCCCCGGAAGCGCATCTCAACCACTATAGTCCCCAATGCATTTCCCGCTACTCGAGCTTCAGCAACGCGATCATCGGGCGATTCTGGTCCGGCTGAATTTATTCAGGTTAGTTCGAAGACACGAGGCGGGAATGGTGTCTGCCTGGAGTTATTTCATGTCCCTAATAACGTTGATCCAGGATATTGAACCTTCGATTGCGCCGAACTTCCTTCTTAAACTTAATAATGACGACGAACTCGTATTCAACTTTACCTTTGTCGTCCGCCAAGAAGAAGCCAGCCCTGGAATAGATACGCATATCAATGGTCTAACATATGTCTATGCTTCAACCAATAGAGAGCTCGAGAACCTTGTTACCCGCGAGTTTCACGCAGACCCGAATCTACACAAAAATGCAAATGTTGAATTGGTCGGCGATTATACCACAGGCGGAAGCCCCTCGGTGACATTTGAGTGGTCGTGGAAATGGAAGCCACCAAAGGCGACAGAAGATGGGGGAGGCGGGTGGAGGAATGTTTGCAGCGTAGGTGAACTTGAACAACAACATTGGGCTTTACTGAGTATTATGATTACAGTTCGTCGAATACGACCAAAGAGCACACCGCCTGGATACCTTAGCCAGATTTTCTTTTTGGGTTGCTAGTGAGTTATGGGGTTTGCCTGTTGAACCGTTGAACCGGGTCTAACCAAGTTCTCAGATACCTCGCCTCTCTCAAGCCATCCTAACTCCCCATCTCCTGCCTTTCAGCTAGCAGTGCCTCCGAGAATACGGGCCCCATCATCTCAATCAGTCGAGTCTCGCATTAGTGAGCAAGAGGAACCGGCATCCCCTCTACACCCTCAGATTGACACATTATCCATCGCGCCCACCATCGCGACAAGCTCCCGGGAATCTGTCAAACTTGATATATCGTGCCCCCGACCAGGCGAAGACATGTCCGTAAGCGATGATGGCCCGGTTTTCAGAGCTACTATCAAGGCGCTTGAACAGAAGACTGGCAATATGAGAACTCAGATGAAGAAGGTATTAAAGAAAGCCGAGCACGCATATTCCGCCCAGATCGAGGCGAACGAAGCTTTCGTAGGGTTTATGGATGCCCTCCGGGAAGCATCTGCGACGAACGCCAATGCTGTCCAACCTGCTTTAGATCATTATTTCGACAAGATTGCCAAAGAAATCCTCAGCTACGAGAGGCAGAATGCGACCAATTTACAAAAGATTATTATTGATCCTATAGGAAAACTGTATACCTTTGATATCAAGCAGGCAGAGTCAAAGAGACGAGACTTTGAAGAGGAAAGCAAGGACTACTATTCTTACGTATCTCGATACCTTGGCCAACGACAAGACTCGGTGAAGACTAAGAAGCTTGCCGAGAGCGATACTAAGTATCAGACGAAGAGGAGAAATTTCGAGCTCAAGCGTTTTGACTATTCTTCGTTTATGCAAGATCTGCATGGTGGCCGCAAGGAGCAGGAAGTCTTGTCACATCTAACCAAGTATGCTGACACACAGGCAAGAAGCTTTTTAAATACTGCCCATAAAGTTGAGGAATATCTGCCGCAACTAGAGGCTCTAGCGAACGAGGTACAAGATGCAGACAAGGAGTTCCAATACCAAAGACGTGAACGGGAGGAGAAAAGACGCGTATTGGAGAAGAGTAATCTACAGTATAATGAACCAGAGACTGTGACTTCGGCAACTCATACGCCCCCAACCCAGAATGCCAATGGCAACCTGCACACGTCCGACTCCGAGCTTGGCCGGGCGGATAGTACTAGTTCCCAACTGAAAGCCATCCCAACAGGCAATTCAGGACCCTTGGCCGCAGCAGGCACGGATCTCTCGAGGTCTCCAGGGAGCATCGGACATGGCTCCTTACACAGCCCTGCGCAAACCTTAAAGTTCAAGGGTATACGAGACCTAGAAGAGAAGGATTTCAGCCAGTTAACCATTGCCGAGAAGAACTCGACGCACCGGAAAGAAGGTCTACTCTGGGCCCTGAATCGGCCAGGTACCCATGTAGATCCTCTCTCATTAAATAAGCAGGGTTGGCACAAGTACGTACAAGGCCGATACATGCTAGAAGTTGTGGTCGCGTGCTAACAAATATAGATTCTGGGTCGTGTTAGACCAGGGAAAGTTGTCGGAATATAGCAACTGGAAACAGAAGCTCGATCTCCACATGGACCCCATTGATCTTCGTATGGCATCCGTCCGCGAAGCAAGAAATGCGGAGCGACGATTCTGTTTTGAAGTAATCACGCCCCATTACAAGAGGGTATATCAGGCAACCTCGGGCGAAGACATGAACAGCTGGATCCTCTCCATCAACAACGCTCTCCAAAGCGCGGTCGAAGGCCGCGGCCTTAAGGAGAAGCCGATGTCTCCTGGAGAGCCGACCAGCCTTAAGCGTGATATCGGGTCGATTCTAACCGGGAAGAGTATCTCCTTAAACCATGGTTCTCATCATGGCTCGCATACCAATACCAGTTCTATTCCTTCCCGCCGGACTACAGTTGGAGCGCGGCCTGCAAATGCGAGGACGCCCAGCAGTAGCTACGACGAAAATCCGGACAAGCTCCTCCAGATGCTCCGTGATAATGACCAGGGCAATTGCTGGTGTGCTGACTGCGGCAGCGGGTCTAAGGTTGAATGGGTATCGATTAATTTGGCTATCATACTCTGCATCGAATGTAGTGGTATTCATCGATCTCTCGGAACGCATATCAGCAAAGTGCGATCGCTCACACTCGACATTACCTCATTTACGCCCGATATAATCGAGCTACTGCTTCTTGTCGGAAACAGAGTCTCTAACATGGTTTGGGAAGCTAAACTTGACCCATCATTCAAGCCAAGCCCGCAAGCTACACGAGAGCAACGCCTAAAGTTCATAACTGCAAAGTACGTGGACAAGGCTTACGTGGAACCGATTTCAGCCACTCTCTCAAGATATCCAACCGCCGACGAAACGCTCCTTGCGGCTATAAAGCGCAACGAGATTCAACAGGTTATATATGCACTAGCGCTAAAGGCCAATCCCAATGTCCTAGATAAAGTCCGTGGGACTCATCCGGTCTTTCTGGCCCTCGCAGCGGCTGATCCGGCGTCACCATCACCTACTACCCCTACATCCGGGCGACCGGAGCCCGAAACCCGAGCTGTTCCGTTCCCAGTTGCTGAAATGTTGATACAAAATGGGGCCGAGATACCTGCCACGATGCCTGCATTCCCGCTGAGCCGAAGCGCGCAGATGTACATAGAGCAGAAACGGGGTCGGAGTGCTGCTATCGAGGCCTCGGGCTCATCTTTGTCAGGCAGTTTAAGTCCCGGCCCGAGCGAGCGAATCCAGCGCGATAAGGACGCACGTCTACAAAAGCGCATCAGCGCGGGCGGACGGCTAGCCAAATCGCCGATTCCCGAGCGGTAGAAACGGCGGAAGTCGAATACTTCACTCTCATCTTCATCTCCCTTGCCGGATTCGCAGAAGAATCGGCTTAGTCGACGGAAGTCAAATGTCACAGGTTCAAATTCTTCCTCATCCACTTCCGAACGGTAGAAACGGCGATGGAATCGCTCCTTCTTCCAGATATCTCGTTTGGACCTCTCTAAGATTTTCACACCTTTCTGCCCGCTGATCTTCTGTCCTCCTTTGAGGATTGTGACGCCTCCCCCGCCTCGTCATGCGATTGATTTGACGACGACGGTTGCTTCACGAACTGACGAAAATGACCCTATATGACGATGGCCGGGGTTGCATTAAATGCATTGGCATTGGTAAAGAATATATGAAATTTCGGATCCAAAAGAGTGCGGATCTCTTTGTTCACGGCGTTATGGAGCATTCTGAGGAGAATACCAAATTAATTCAAAGGCTCTTGGCGGACTGCTGACATTATTTCCATAGCAGTAGTTAAGGATATCGGGTCGGCATTCCCAGTCATGATAGTAGGACATAGCCTTTGAACCATTGGATGGAGAGGGAGCCCATTCATAAGGATGGAGATATGTACTGGTGCATTCATAATTGTAATCGTGTACAACGAAGGTAGCAATTACCTCCTAGATATGATTTTTCAGTTAGTTGTAAGACTATCAAAGTGCATGATTTCGTCTTCTACATATCTTTATCCCCTATCTAATATCGAAATGCTGCCAATGATGACTTATAACAACCAATGTACATGATATAGAAGTACAACAAGGTGTAACCCGTCCATTAATCCGTACCTACATATTTGACCTATGGTATAGTGTGTAGAATACCTTACTTTTAGCACCTAGTATCGAAACTTGGAAATTTCAGAAAATGTGTATTACTCTACCTTTATAGGGTTAATGAATCTCGTGGATAGCGTAAGACATGTGAGGCGCTGCAGGTGGCTTTTACGAATAATCACCTGAAACTAAGGCGTGTCGGAGTGTCGAGAGCAAGACCACGCATGACCAATACTAAGCCTCACATGAAGAAAAGTTGCTACTTTCTTTCTAATTGCATAGAAAGTCGAGTAAGCACCTATTATTCATAATGATCATCTCACACGCAGCTATTCGGAACTTTAGGTATATCCAATTACTTTGTGAGACCATAGATGCAGAGACATCAGATCTCGTACATGTAGGTGCCTGTCAATTAGGTAAGACAGTAAGGCTCAACATAGGTTAGGTACGTTGAGATATAGGTACAGAGTCGTACAAGAAAGGGCGGATATCTTGAATGACGAAATTTAAGAGCGCAAGACTTGAGAGGTGGAAGAGGTGGGGCCGGTATGTACCTAGGTACACGTTGCACAGCCCTACCAGCAAGCTTGGACAGAATGAGGGAGCTTCCCCACTTACCGATAATAGCAGCAGTATCTAGCAGCAGGCGCTCATTGAGTTTAGGTAAGGAACCTGGGGATGACCTTGCCCATTATCAGCTGTTTAATCTCACAGTTTCAATATTTTATTATTTCGGATTTTCTATAGGAAATCACGGATAGATAACTATTGGCATATGACTACCGTAAACCTACTAACTAACTATTTTAAGTTTTTATACTTTCTTTTCCCGCACAATCGCAGCTGGACAATTATTCGTTATGACTCAACATATTCGGTGAAATACTCCGTACATATAACAAGGGTATACAACTATACAACTATACAAGGGTGATAGAGTTCGCAAGTTCTCCCCTGGACTTTCCCTGGTTTTTCTGTTGGTGCTCAGCCGCTAGTCCCGTGTTCGCATTGGACCGTGGGACCGTCCCTTATTATGAATTATCCATCGTACCCATCTGTACCCATTGTATCCATTATAATGTCAATCTAACTCGGAATCTTGCGAGTTGGGGATTCTTTTATACCAATAAGCTTTTTCATCTTCGCCAACCCGTCATAACAAATTTTTACTTCAACTCATCTAGGCTCATTTCTTTCGCTGGGTATTTAAGGCAGCATTCTACAGCCCCCCTGTTATATATTATAGAGCTAGACGTAACTAGTAACTAGTTGTGCCCGTCTTTTTTTTTCTTCTTTATTCTCCCTTGGTTGGTCGCAATCGAATTTTAGTACATCCTCGCTCAAGGCAGCCAACCATGGCTCCACGCGAGAAGAGTCAGTTGAAACGGGGAAGGGTACTTCAATCTACCCTTGATTTGTTCGCGTTTCCTTTCGGCTAATAGTATCTTGTAGGATTCTCCTCCTTCTAAGGCCGACAATGATATTTCAAAGAAGCCTCGTCGATCCGGTCGATTGTCGCAGAAGACAGAAAATACCGAGCAGCTAAAAACGCCAGTCATCACCAACAAGCAGAAGCTACCCTCACCCGTCACTCATCAAGGTGATAGCGATGATTTGTATAAGGAATCAACAGCCGAGCCCCCGGATGGACGACCTAGTCAGGTCACGCACCGTACTCCCGAAGAAACCTTCTCTCAAATTCAAAGATTATCGTCTCCTCCGCAAGACACACAAGCTTTTCCGACTTCCCAATATGTTGATGGAAACGCCGCTCTCTCTGACGAGGTTGAGGATGAGGAGAAAGAAGGTGTATGGGGATACCTCTTCCCGCTGGACCCCAAACACGGAGGCAGATGTGTCGTCTTGAAAAAACGGTCCAGCTGTCAACTGCCCAATGATGTTTCGGGTATACTGGCAAAGGAACAGTCTGATGCAACCGACGCCAGCGCCCTAAAACAGGAAGAAAGTTTCGAGAAGTCTAAGATCAAGGGTGTACCGTCTGGTGGATATCTGATTGGGCGACATCCTGAGTGTGGTGAGTTCATTCTTCTCTTTTTGTCGTCCTAAGTTTTACTATCACCTGGATATGTGTTGACTTCCGCTAGATATCATTGTGGATGATCCAATTGTTTCTAACCGTCACTGCTTAATATTCACCGAGAACAAGGGTGATGATACAGTTGCTATTCTCGAGGACATGTCGAGTAATGGAACTTTTGTGAACGAGGCCATCGTCGGAAGAAATCAGCGCCGTGAGCTACAGGAGCAGGATGAGATTGCGGTGATGGACAAGGCTCGATTTATCTTTCGCTACCCACGAACTCGGGCTTCCAGTGCCTTTTTACAGCAATACACGCTCCTCGACCGCTTGGGCAAGGGCCATTTTGCCGAAGTATATCTGTGCGTAGAGAAATCTACTGGCCAAAGATATGCTGTAAAGGTCTTCACAAAAAACCCTGGTATGGATGAGAGGTCGAAGACGGATGGTCTACAGCAGGAAATTGCAGTATTGATGGGAGTTAGCCATCCTAACGTCCTATGTCTAAAAGATACTTTCAACGAGAAGAATGCTGTATATCTGGTACTCGAGCTTGCACCCGAAGGGGAACTGTTCAATCACATCGTAATGAAGCAGAAGTTAAGCGAGTCTGAAACAAGGAAACTGTTCATTCAGTTATTCCAGGGTATCAAGTACTTGGTATAGCTTCCGTCTTCTCTTTCCCCTTGGCATGGCTAACAATTGAAATAGCATGATAGGAATATTGTCCATCGAGATGTGAAGCCGGAGAATATCTTACTAGTCGATAAGGATCTTCACGTTAAACTTGCCGATTTTGGTCTGGCCAAGATCATCGGTGAGGAGTCCTTTACGACCACTCTATGTGGTACGCCAAGTTACGTTGCGCCAGAAATATTAGCAGAAGGAAGGCATAGGAAATACACCAAGGCCGTCGACATTTGGTCGCTTGGAGTCGTGCTGTATATATGTCTGTGCGGTTTCCCCCCCTTCTCAGACGAACTCTACAGCCGCGATTTCCCGTATACGCTTTCGCAGCAGATTAAGAGCGGACGATTCGACTATCCTTCTCCATACTGGGATTCAGTGGGAGATCCGGCATGTAAGTCCTTGAATTTATGGTATCTTGCTCGTTGAGTCTTGTAACTAATTGTAAATATCAGTGGACCTCATTGATCACATGCTAGTTGTTGAACCTGAGAAGCGCTTTACAGTTGACCAGTGCCTTACGCACCCGTGGATAACGCAGAAGGCGCTAGGTGTTAATGATAGTACCGATGGGCTCGTGGCCGGGATTGGGGGCCTTGAAATGCAACGAAGAGGCGCGGTCCGAGAGCGGACGCTACTTAGTTCTATCAACTCGGTGCAAGTCACCAACAAGATCCCTCCAACCCCCGATTCTAAGAAGGGCCCTGTGAAGGTCTTTGCGAAGAATCCTGCTGCTGAGCAAAACGACGCGCCTCCGAAAGAACCCAGACCCGCAGACCAGCGAGGCACGAAGGAATTTATGGAAATGGGTGGCAAAGGCGATCAGGAATTATTCAGTAACGACGGGGCGAGTTTTTATTCTAAACCTGAAGCTGCCGCCGCGAAGGGTAATAAGGCAACAGGGAAGGGCAAGGCAAAGGGTAATGGGAAATAATTGTACACGATGGAATTTGGGGTAATGCGACCCTGGGCGAAGTATTGCTGAAGTTGCCTAGCGGATCTATTAGACGTTTAGTCTGAGGGCGATGCATTGCAGGAGCGTCTACAGTCTCGACCTTGTTAATATTCATATGCATGGCTAGTCCGAAGGTTGGTTCTCTGTATGTCACTTAAGGGGGTGTTCATGTTTTGAAGGTGTATGGATCTGGAGTCTATGGACGATGGTTCATTCATGAAAATGGGCGAGGGGATTTCTTGCAGTTTGCATCACATATGGTCTACCACATGGGTACCGGATATATAATAATACATGCTGCTCGACCTGAGCGCTATGACAATTGATCAAAATTATTCTTGGAAGCCAGTCTTCAAGCAAGAACATCAGAAATATAACATTATAGGCAACATTGCCACGTTTCATAGGCATTGAACGTGGCTCTCGAGTTATCTATCTTTGTTCTGCCCCAACGGACAAAGCAGTCGGTATTCGCGTCACCGAACTGATCCGGACGCATGCCTCGAGACTCCAACTCGGGATCCTTTGTTCAGCTATAGCAGCGAAATATGGGATGTCTAGCTGTTGAGGAGTGTAGGTTTCCTTGCTACTTTCGGGTCGCTCGAAAAAAGTATAGTTACCTACATATCAAATGTTGTGAGATGGCTTCAGACGATAGCACAAGCAATCAAGACAACGATAATGACCAAGTGGAAATGGACTGGAAGATTGGAAAACAGCAGCAGTATCCGCCGCCGGCAGACATACCAGAATATGTGAAAAAAGCCCTTCCTCCGCGGCCAAATCCTGGTTCTTCGTCTATTTATTCTTTACCAATCGAGAGTGCTCAACAGGAATACATTCCAAATAATCAACATGAACAAAATCGTCCCCATGTCAATTCAAGTGCTCCCAATGAAGTCGGAACGACCGTGGTGCAGCCACTTCAGCTAATGGCATCCTCCTCATCATGTTCAGAGAAAGAACCCGAAATAGTAGCGCCGCAACCAAGATATCCAGCCCATATGATTCTGGAGACGAGCGAAGCCGATGATATTGTTATCAGCCCCGTCTCAGTGCCTTTATCTGGGATCAAGAACCTCCAGCAGTACGAGGTCTCGCCGATCTCACCTAACGAGTCTACATGTAGCCTACACTCAGGAGTTTCTTCAAGTGCGAGTCATAACTCCTCCTCAGGAGAGGAGATATATATTAGTCGACAGCCATTCTTATATGAGAAGCATCCTATTGTATATCCATCGGCAGATCTACTTCCTACGTTGGATATAAATATTTTGAACCCAAAGCACCCGTTCCAATACCAGCAGATCAACCTCCGGTATAGTGACCCGGGTAGCCCTATAAGTGGCACTGTAATACATCCTCCAACCTCATTCCCGTCCGATCCTAACCTTAGGCTTTCACGCCACCTCGATGATGAAAATCAGGGGTACCCACCGACCATCAATACTGAGCCACTATCACCGGCCGACTTGGAGAATAACCTTAACAGCCAGTCGCAAACTCCCACCGGGACAACAATCAGCCCCAAAGTCGCGTTCTCCAAGACCATAAACGGATTCTCGACACGGTCGCGGGCCAACAGCAAGAGGGCGGCCCACGCACCGCCACCCTTGAAACTAAGCGAACGTCCGCTGGTAGACAGCTACATCAAGACGCCGTTCCCAGGGGCAGAGCCCGTGCAGCGACAAGATAGCTCGGGGTCTACGCGCCAGAGGCAGAATCCAGCGGAGCAGAAAGCCAAAGAAGAAGAACAGAACAGCATCTCTCGGAAACGGAACCGGGTGTCTACTCTTCCCGCGTTCGTGTTCGCGAAGTCGTTGAGACAGAGCGGTGGCGAGACGCGGGGGAAGGAGAAGGAGAAGGAGAAGGAGAAGGAGAAGGAGAAGGAGAAGGAGAAGGAGAAGACTTCGTCGGGCCCGACGGTGAAGAGTCTCTTGTCGAGGGCGAAGTCGTTTAGGATAGGTAGGGGGTTGGGGCTTGGGTTTGGGATTGGTTCGGAGGAGGCGAGGAAGGAGAAGAGGAGGGAGGAGATGAAGAGGCAGATTCGGATTGGTGAGCCGAGGTCGTGATATGTCGGAGTAAAAGGGGGTTGGCTATATAGCTCGGAGGTCCTTGTGGATGAGGGTAGCACTATTTCTAGTGCGGGTTGAAAAGGCTTATGAGATTAAAAGTAGATGAATAGCGAGCTCATATAATCCACCTTGCAGCTCATTCGCGGGCGTTATTGCAACTCATAATTGGTGTTCGCGGTTGTCTATCATATCACTTGGGTATATTGCTTAGACATGCCCCGTAACCCTAAATCAACACTCGAGGAATCTACTTTTGAGTCTAATAAGAAATGCGACGTGAAGTATAGACTATTCGTCTTGATCTCTAAGGATGAATAGAACGAACTGATGACATACATAGTAGGTACCCAGAAAATATGCCCCGGATTTACTTCCTTCGACTATACAAGGAGACCTGCCTTTTAAAACACGACGACCGAGATTACTTCTAATTCAGAGGGCCAAATTATAACCATACAGGGTCATGTTATCCTCATATCATTATACTTAATGCGCCTTGTGGTTTTCATACGATAATGATGGGCAATACTGGTGCAGATACGCCTCAGATTACTGAACTCATACGCTCGTTTAGTAACGATCTTACGCAAAGAGAAAGCGGTGATATATCCTAGCGGGGAAAATAGCATCCGATAAGCAGAAAGAGGAATGTCCAGCTAAACTTCGAGATCAGTGGAACATGTTCCTAATCGAAGGCCGTGAGTTGGCCCTTGGGTATATTATAGTCAAAGCCTTCATTACAACCCCTTTGTTGCTGAAATAGTCTTAGTTTGGTTCTAGATGAAGAAGTTCTTCTGTTAGACCAGAGTCGTCGTCTTTACAATACATGGAAAATCTTTTGTAAGAGACTGACGACCGAACAATAAAAACAGTTATCAAATGAAAAGCCGAATTTGGAACTTCTGCACAAATCCATTGCGAAAGCATCGGCATCGTGGCAAGCTAATCGGAATAGTACAAGACTTGGGAGAGCCAAACGTATTTTTGCACGGCTCTGTGAAACATATTCATCCCATAGCAACTTGGTATCGATTGTTCCTACAGACGACAAATACGTCTCCCTCTTCACCGGATCCCTATCCGCAATTGCACAGGTATATTGCAACATATGTTACGCGAACTATATTCACTAGCTTATACATTCTGTAGGCTATGGTGAATCATGAGAACCTTGCTGATGGCGTAGCTACTACCCTTGAGGAACTTAGCGATGATATGGGCTACTGGAATAAGCTCATCGAGCAACACGGAGATGGTGTAGTGAATCGATGCTATATCATAGAGCCCTATGTAATCGTTTTGGAGTTCCTGACAGAAATATTCACTGAATGGTCGAAATCATCATGGAAAAGGTCTGATTCACTTCTTAAAGTACACATCATATTGATCATTTATAACCATTATAAATACCCCTACCCGAAAACAGGAAAATTTAAATTATAGGTACCTACCCGAGAAAGTTACTAAGATGATACATGGAACAGATTCGTAAATGCTTTTGACGAGAAGGCCTTTCAAAAGATTTTTAGCGAAAGAGAATATTCAGAGTCTCCTCACCCATAGTACGTATAGTTTACCAGATAAGACATATTTGGGACAGCTATTACCCTCACGTTACGAATCTCTCAGCACATCGCCAGCAACCGACCCAAATACCATAACCCGCCCACATTCAACTCTAAGAGAGACAATGGATTTAGGAAACTTAAGCAGATCCACTAGTCAAGACGAAAGTTTCCCTCGTTCCCATTATTACAGCCGCAGGGAAATTCTACACCTTCTCGCTCCAATCTTGAACCGATACCAAAGCGATATGCAGAGTGTCATGGATATCACTTCAACAGCGTTAAACATATCAATCGATAATAATGTTGGGACGCGGATTGAAAACTGGACTACATGTTCTCATCCAGATTCAATTTGGATCCAAGGTCCTCATGCGGTGTCACATCCAAGTCAAAACATGCTGACGGCCATATGTCTTGTCGCACTATCCAACCGCAATGAGATTCCATGCGTATCCTACTTCTGCTCCCTGAGAATCTCCGCTGCTAGGGGCTCATCAGTACCCTCCTGCCGAAAGATGTTATTAGATATGGTTAAGTCTATCATTGTACAGCTCATCCTATTAATACCCGAGGAGATTTTCACCGAGGTTGATTTCTCTCCTTCACGTTTTGAGATGTTGACTAGTCCTGGGATGGATGTTAACGCTGCGCTGGCCTTATTACGAGATATTCGCGAGTTTACTCCGCCTTATCTACATTTCGTTGTTGAAGGATCCCAGGAGCTCGAGGACCGAGGTGATATACGCCATACACAAAATCTCCGACGCACACTTTATGAACTCACGAAGTCCTCGAAACCGGTAGCACCAGGTATACCTGCTGAAACTCAGGAATCAGAAGTAACCAGGGTTATTAAAACATGCTTTACAAGTGAAGGTTATGTGGACGTGCTCGCTTATCTGGTAGAGAGTGGTTATGTCGATAAAGTGGAATACGCAGAAGAAGCAGATCATTAAGCTGCTGGGGAAACTAGCACTATGAGATGGGAATAAGGTTGATGTTATAGGATATAATATAACTCTCTTTGAATTTAAAAGCATCTAATACAGATAGAAAAGTATCATTGTTTTGGGAATTCCTATACTATACTATGCGCCCTTATTAAAATTGAAATATAAGGTACCTATTTAAGGCAACTGGAAGCTTCTACTTGATACATGTCTACTTAGGTACGTAGGTAAGTAAAGTAGTATCTCTTTCTTGGATGTTGCGGTAAAGATATATGAATACGCCTATCATCTATCTGAGACATTATCATAAGGCTGAGAGAAGATTTCGGAAACCTAAGGCACCCGGATACTGTGTAATGCGTGGTCTCGCATAGCCGCATATGCACCAGGGGTAGCATCGGCTCTATAAATAGGCACCTAAGGTTAGGTAGATACCCAATGTCAAGATACAGATGTAGTACTTAGCTCACTTACCCGACCTAAGGTAACAAACTGTTGCTAAGCTCTTTCGATAATAACACTTTCTAGTCTCTGTATTAGTTCTCTTTAACTAATACTCTTCATCATGCCTAAAAACCGAGAAAGTCGTAAGGCTAACCAAACATCCAAGTTTTCACATTTATTACACTTTATTCAAGGAGGTGACGATGATGGCGAAAATCACCACTGGAGCAATAAGCAGCAAGAAGAGGCGTTTGCAAACACTCCGATTTTCACTACAGCCGTGGAAAAATTTGTTCACTCAACCTACCAAGTCTCATCATCATACTTAGCTGCTTCTGCTTCGAGTGATACATCCTCTGCCTCAATCTACACCGCCTTCTCCTCCTTATCTAATAATCCGACCTCGGAACTCGTTCCCCAATATGGCCTAATTGGTATTCGACAAGATTCTGCAGACGCAAATATCTCGGCAGAGGATCGCCTCGTTTTGGCAAATATGAATGTTCCATGGTCGGCCTTCATATGCGGATCTCAGGGCGCAGGAAAAAGTCACACGTTGTCCTGTCTGTTGGAGAATGCGCTTATTTCAAATAATGCGGCCGGTCACCTTCCTTACCCCTTGGCTGGGATGGTCATGCATTATGATAAATATACTAGCTACTCCTCAACACAGGTGTGCGAGGCAGCATACCTATGCTCTTCGGGAATACCTGTGACAATACTAGTATCTCCTTCTAACATTTGGGCTATGCGAAACCTGTATAGCAACCTTCCTGGGGTAAATGTTAAGGTGCTACCTTTTTATCTAAACGAGGACCAGCTTGATATCTCAAGAATGCTAAAGCTGATGGCCATAGACCCAGCAGCCAAGGATACGCCTCTCTACATGGAGGTGGTGATGAACCTAGCCCGAGAAATGGCGATGGAGGGTCCAGGTGTCTTTACTTACTCGAGATTCTGTGAGCGCCTTTCGAAGATTAAATGGGTAAAAGGTCAAGAGGCACCCTTAAAACTGCGCCTACAACTTCTGGACACCTTTATAGCTCCGCCATCAACAACAACTACCAAGAGGCCAGCCCGAGCCCAGGAGGATATCTGGGCTTTCGAACCGGGCTCATTAACCATCGTCGATCTTAGCGATCCTTTTCTTAGTTCTGACGACGCGTGCTCGCTATTTACCATTTGCCTCTCGATCTTCCTTGAAGAGAGAAATAAATGCGGACGTATCGTGGCGCTAGATGAAGCACATAAGGTAAACCCCACTCCATGCCCGTGGGTTATGGAAACTAACTAGAAGTAGTTCCTCAGTCAGGCTGGTGAGGCGAAGATTCTGACTGGCGACTTGCTTTCTATAATCCGACAACAGAGACATACCGGCACACGAGTGTTAGTAGCAACACAGGAACCCACGCTCTCTCCAGAGCTAATAGATTTATCGAACGTAACCTTTGTCCATCGATTTCTCTCGCCGAGCTGGTACGAAACGCTTAAAAAACATCTTGCCGGTGCGAAGGAGCAAAACCCGGGCGATGCAAGCGTACTTTTCGACAAAATCATCTCCTTGCAAACGGGAGAAGCATTACTTTTCTGCCCAACAGCGCAGATAGATATTTCCAAGAACACCAACAGGAGCAAGCAAGTAAAGAACCTTGGAAATGGCTATGTTAAGATCAAAATTCGTAAGCGCTTGACTGTGGACGGTGGCAAAAGCATTATGGCTACCGATGCTCTAGCTGAAGCACTTGAACGTACTAAAATCGACAATATTTTGATGGGAGATACCGTTCCGAAATTGCAAACCGATAAAAACGGCTCCGCGAAAGCTGTCGAGATCTTAGGTTCAGGCGTGGAGCCGAATAACACAAACGAAAGCGTACCTGACGACGCCCTCAAGACACCATCTATGACGGCGGAGCCGGCTGCGAATACTGGTACGACTATAACCAAGGCGCCGTCAGGAGGCCAAATGAAGAAGGAACTAAAGCGTCAAGCTCAAGAGATGTTCAAGGATGGTTCTTGGACTTCATTCAAGGATTTAACTAAGAGCCAGAGGACTCAGCTTTTCTCTAGCGTCGACGCTACTTTCCAACTTCCGCCCGGCACATCTATAAAGAATAAAAGTTTAAAGACCTTCTTCTATATCGCATTAGACGAAATCATGGTAAATATTGCAGTCTTGTTGTATTATTGTAGAGTGTCAATTACTAACCTATGTTTCTTAGGCCAAGTTAAAAGAATCCGAGGATAAGAAGTGAAGCGTAACAGTCGACGCACTAAGTCATCTATTGTGCTAAAGACCTGCTTGTACAGGATAGATTATATTATACACATTAAATGTATAGTAAGGTTATTTTGCGTTGGAGCAAAGGCAATGAACTGGGATATAACAGACACACTCAGGGGTAGCCCGTTCTACGCCAAGAAATTAGTCTCAATTTGCCCCCTATTTATGCTATAATCGACTATGGGATTATATAGCACCTGAATATGAATGTCTACTTAGATTAAAATGGAGAGACACCATATACACCCAATACTTTCCCGACGTAACTGTCCTTCTCTCCTTTGACAACGGTAGCAACTCGTTCGCCCCCTTGCCAAGGTTCGGCGGCATTCCTTTCTCGAAGTGAAGCGGGATTGCCAGTGAAGTTAGTAGCGCACAGTCCCGGATCTGCTCCAAACACTAGGAAGCCCTCTGGCTTCAGTCGAGCATAGTACATAACCATCAGCATATTCAAGGCTGCTTTGCTCGTGCGATACTCTACTGCCCCTGGATTGTAATAAGGCGAGGTGGGGTCCGAGGCATGTGTGATGGAGCCCGTACTCGAACTAACAAAGATGAGACGAGGCGATTTGTGAATGGCCTTACGAAGTAGATCCAGGAAGGCTTCTGTTACGCTCAGGGCACCAACGACGTTTGTTTCTAGGACATGTCGGAAGACCTCGCGTGTGGGAGGACTGACCATTGACACGATCCCAGCATTGTTAACGAGTACATCAAGTCTCCCATACTCGGCAGCGACACGTTCAGCTGCGGCGTCGACTGATTGATCGTCCGTTACGTCAATTTGAGTCGAAGACGTTGTGCCCTTAACCCCCTCGGTGGCCTGGATCTCCTGTGCGGCAACCTCTCCTTTCGAAGCGTCTCGGCTCCCTAGAATAACGTGATAATCTCGGGATGAAAGAACCAAATTCTTTGCCGTTTCGTAACCCACACCCTGGTTACCACCTGTGTATATAAGCTTAGTTTTCTGGGTGAATAATATTGTATAGAAGGGTGAAGGTAACAGTAAGTTAACTGTAGGCAATGTGCGTACCTGTTATAAGAACTATAATCTTGTCTTGAGAAGTCATTTCGTTACCTGTTCTGACGCTATAGATAGAAATAGCTTTCTGGGAGAAGTTGGGTTTGGATCATAGACTATGCTGATTACCTAGGGTGCTGCGAATCTCTTATATACATCTCTTACGACTATTTCAGTAATATGAAAACTCCTTATACGGGTTTAAAGAACCGGTCGGAGATAGCTGGGCATGGAACTTAAGTCCACAAGGGGAATATATTACGAGTTAACCAGGTTATAAGACTTATTGGATACGATCTAGAAGTATGTTCCTTACTCTGGTTTATTTCATAGAGGTCCTGTGTTTATATGTAGGAATCAAATAAATATAACTATTTGGATTGAATAACTAATTGTCTTTGGGTTATGATCTTGCTTGCATAAAACCTGTTGTCTTACCCCTTTCCCAACCTTAAAGTCCGTCGATCTGTATAATAGCATAATCTCATCAGGTTCATCAGCCCCTAATTTTAAGAATACTACTATAGTGAGGTCTTAACTATAAGGGGTTAAATACATCTAAACGCAGATACATACCTCTATGTACCTGATGCCTGTGGGGTACCCCGCGGACGCTACGTCAAGCCGATCCACTTTAGACAGCAAGCACCTAAATTAAAAACTGGGAAGGTAGGAGCCGATCCCGAAAACGGTGACTTACACATCTTCTCCTTCTCAAAATGAGCGCTACAAACGGCATCTCCGGTACGGCCAAGAGAGACGATTCACCTCCCCTCACGGAGCTCGAAACGGCCGAGATCTTACAGAGCATCCGAAACTCCACTACTAGACCCTCGACCTCTTTACCTGCTGATCTCTCCCTCTCGCTCGACTTACACCGCCAGCATCAACACCAACACCAACACCAACAACCGCCGTCCGAATCCCCCGATCTAGCTTCCTACTATTGGGATGCGTCGACGATGGCCCCGCTAAATAAAATCTCGGCGGTTAGTATAGCTACAATCTAAGCACCCATTCTCCAGTAGCGGGGTGAGAGAAAACGTAGGGGACAAAAAATGATTCAATTCATGCTCATGCGCTCAAAGGCTGCCATTGCGCGTCTGCGCGCTTATAAGCCCCCGCCGTTTCCGACCTGGGACCATCTTCCTGTAAGCCGACGTGCCGCAGTGCTGATCCTGCTATTCGCGGACCGCAGAGGTGACCTAAGAGTCGTGATCACGATGCGGGCTACAAGTTTGCGCAACTTCTCCGGTACGACAGCATGCGAATCCCTCTCTAAGAGATGAAGTAATTTGGATCTGATACGTATTGGTATTTGAATAGGTCACGCAGCTTTTCCCGGTGGGAAAGCAGATTCATTATTAGAGTCGCCCTGTAAGTATCGAGACAATAACTGTTAACTAAACCTAAAAAGGACTCTAAGAATTAATGCGTTTCCTCCTATTTATAGATCAAATAGCTCGCCGCGAAGCGTGGGAAGAAATCGGTCTTCCCATGGACGACGCCAAGATCCCGAAGCCCTTTCGAATAGAGCCGCTCTGCTGTCTACCATGTAGTCTCGCGAAGACCGAAATGGCTGTACGTCCGTGTGTAGCGTTCCTACATGCCGACGACGTACCCGGAAAACCTAAAGCTATGGTAGACGAGAGTATGATACCCCGGCTAGATGCGAAGGAGGTAGCGGCAGTCTTTAGCGGTCCGTTCCACAATTTCTTGAAAGCAAAGGACGAGCCGCACGAAGGAGAAACGATACCCCTTGGTGATTGGTACGACGGGTACTGGCATCACTGGCACGATAAACCGTGGAGAGTGCATAACTTCCACGTGCCAGTAAATAACCAAAAGGTTACAAAACCAAAGGTTCGAGATGGCGGGCAAGCCGTGCTGGCTGACGTGCTAGAAGAGGAGGAAGATGCGTTGCAGCGTTTCCTAGTATGGGGTCTCACGGCACGAATGTTGGTTGATGCCGCAAGAATTGCTTATGAGGAAGAGCCCGAGTTCGAGCATAATTCTCACTACGGCGACGAAGAAATCATAACTTTTCTAGACGACGCGGGCCGCCTCCCAGACAAGAAGAGAAAGGAAGTAGGACAAGATGCTATCAAAGACGAGGTTAAGGATGCGAAGATGTAGACGGACGGAATATGCTGTCCTTGCATTATTGTAGATTCATAATGGGCTCAAGCCGCCTGTATCTGTAATTACCAACCGCTGGCAAAATCTTATGACGCATCTAACACACTCGATCAACGCCCTCTAGTTATGGGAGAGCTCTAAATCACTCTAAATGGCTTCTTCCCACTTCTAGCTATCCGCCCACCCGCCCGTACGTATAATACTAGTAGTGTAACGCCAGTAACCTAGGTACTAGGCTATCTCGCGTCTAATGACAGGCGGTCTCTTTTACAGCTTTTGTATGCGAACCAAAGAAATAGTATCCGAGGCCAGCTCCAATAGCAACGGAAAACATGACGAAGCCATTGTAGGTCATAAAGAGTAACCTGTTTGTTGATAGCAGATTATTAGTATTGAGATTATTCAGGACTTAAAGTAGATTTCTCACTCACATAATCATAAAGGCGTAAAAGTTCTGTACGGCGTATAGCACCGCCTTAAAAACATGGGCCTGTCGCCCAATCGCATCGGCCTGGCTGCTTCGTCCTACCCCAAGTAATGTCGCGCTCTCAGTATTTGATTCGACTTGATCGTTCGCGATAGCAACATCTTAGCCCAGGATTTCCCCAAAGGCGTGCCAACAAAATGAAATTGTATTTGCATAGGTACACGGATCGTCGGATGCAGCAGCAGCAGCGCAGATCGTATCACGTTCCTATAGTTATACGACAGGCGCCGACTGCTGCTAATCCGGGACGATGGGGAGGGAGGCGGGTGTAGGAGAAGTCTGGATCGGGAAACTGTAGAGGGGATGATGGAGGCTGTACTCACTGGGTGCAGCGTCCTGCTTGGCAGCTATCGCGGATTCGTAGCGTCGGATGCCCTCGCGGAGAGCTTCGTAACCGGCGCTGATAGCAATAATGGCTAGCAAGCTGAAAACTAGCGAAGCCGTACCGCGAATGTGCCATTGGCGGAATACGATGCAGAGGTTGCTTGTATCCCATGTAAAGAGCATCTGTTCGAATTGGAACGCCAGAAGCTGAAAGTTAGCCTACATTTTCTCAAAGATCTCTCTCGGTTCGACGACACCCAATAGAAAAGGTGACAGAACCAAAATGGATGTTGGTGGCGCAACTCGAGCCGTAGTGCATAAGGCTAGAGAACGCTCTAAGCATGTAGGTACTGACATTCATGTTGCACATCGGCATGCCACCGTGTCCACCATCTCCATGGCCCATATCGCCATGGTCCATGTGTCCGTGATCCATATGCGAATGGTCCATTGGTGAGGTTACGGAAGTGGAACTCTCGAAAGGGTCGGGTATAAACGGGATTAGGAAGATGATAGAATGATAGCTAGGAGCTAAGAAAGATGAAATAAAACAGATATAAAAAAGATCAATTCAAATGGCACTTCTTCGATGTTTAAATCTTTGGAAACTTGCTTAAACGTGCTCACTTGTAGGTGACAAACGTGACGATGGTGTCAGATGGGATGGTTTGATAGGTCGTTTCTAAACGGCCCAAACAACTTTAGAGCTTCTGTAACTTGGTACTACGCCTAGATTAGGTAAAGCGCTAATGCATGCAGCCTTTAGTTAGGGTACTCTAATGCATGTACCTAATGTATGCATAAATCAATTATGCATTATGTAGATTTCATCCCTTTATCTACGGAGTATTTACTCTAACTAATAGGGGCTATGGACTTTACTTCTTCATCTCCCATATCATCTACAGGTCTCCGATCGTTCTTCTTAATAGACTTCCATTCCATTCCACAAGCAGCTACGAAGGCAACGGCAGCTAATGCTACTGCAGAATAGAAAACCCTCGTCAAAGCATAGTTATATTCTTCAAGAACAACACTGAGATACTTATCATCTACAACTTGCCTAAGATCGGTAGCACCTAGGTTGAGAATAGTTTTGGGATTTAAATTCGGTACTCTATCCGATAATCCCTTTACTAACTGTGATGTTAGAATATTCTGGGCAACCGACAACCATATGGTGCCCCCTATGATCTGAGAAAAGATAAGCACTACGGCTCCAGTCGGCACATCGATGCTCGCAAGGACATTCTGTGCAGCTGTATGTGATTGCTGGATACCCAAGCCGGCTCCCGCACCGATTGCGATCTGAAAGCCGATCCAGTGAGCTGCGGGTGATGTGACCCGCAATGTGGTGGTGAGCGCAGCGCCGACTAAGAGAAGAGCAGCGCCTAGGATCATAAAGGGAGTATAATATCCAGAACGTGCAACGCCAAAACCAGCAACGAATGAGAAAAGCACTGTACCCAAGGTAGTAGGTAGAATTCGCGTGCCAGAGCTGAATGCTGTCACGCCCTGGATAGCTTGAAACCAGATTGGAAACTAATCTCTTGTCAGTCTTCAAGTTCAGCTAGTCTATCTCTACAACTAGATGTAGGTGTACCAACATAATATTGAAAAATATTGAGAGCTCCGCCTGCGCAGAAAACGTAAATGGCACTACAAGCCACACTGCGCTGTCTTATAATCCGAGGAGGCACTGTAGCGCTCTCCTGCTTCCAGTATTGAACGAAAACAAACCCCATCAAAGCTACACCCCCAACGACAATTAGGACAATAGGCCGGGCGCTAGCCCATGGGTAGACGGAACCGCCCCATTGAAGGGCAGTCAGCAGACACACAACAGCGGGTATCATTAAGCTGGTACCCAGAAGGTCCATCTGTTTAACCTTCTCACGCCATGCACTAGATGCTGGTTCTTTCTGTGGGGGATGGAGGAATAGCATCATAGCCAGGATGGCACTCCCGCCAAGAGGAAGATTGATGTAAAAACACCACCGCCATGTCGCCTTGGTAGTGAAAGCACCGCCCAGAAGAGGTGCAACCACCGATGCAATGCCGTACATGCCACTATACGAACTGACAAAGAGTGGCCTCCTTTCCAGAGGAAGAGATGCTGCGAGGATACTAAAAAAATATGAATGCGGGGAACTGAAGACCAGGTCCAAGTGAAGTCTTACATGATAAATCCAGCATTAATACCAGCACTACCCAAACCCGCACAAGCTCGACCGACTATGAAGGCTATTGAAGTAGGTGCTACGGCACAGAGCAAAGAGCCAAGCTCAAAAATGGCAATGGAGGTAAGGAATACATTCTTTATGGAATAAAACAAAAATAGTTTTCCGTATATAAGTTGAAATGCCGCAAATGTCATGAAACTAGCGGCGGTAAGTATGAAGAGCTCGTAGGTTGGTGCAAGATGGCATACTATGCTGATCCATACCAACCGACGTCGTTGATCGACTTGAACTCATCGGTAATTCTAGGGGTAGCTGTCGTGATGATTGTCTCGTCCTAGTAGAATAAGTATGCGTCTAGGAGACGGTAAAACGTCTGATATTATCAATCAATCAATCTATCACTCACCAGAGCACACAGGAAGACTGATATGGCTAAAGAAGCGATAATTGCCGCTAGTTTAATGCCTTGAGGGTAAGATTGGTTGAGGTCGTCTGTAGAATCTTGCGCTATGACCTCTATTTGGCCATTGCAGTCGAGTTTCTCGGATTCCACCGGCTGTATCCCTCGTGTACTCATCTCGAGAATAGTTAATAGGAGGAAGATAAGAAATATATTCTTGCCAACATTTTGAGATGTTACCCTGAAGTATGAACACCAAAGAGATAAGAAGTACCTAACCTTAAATACCTACCTCCTATGATAAATATGAATCCCTACAAATACTCCGGGCGTGTTTATATACAGATCCATGTTAAATCCGAATCTGATAAGGATGTTATCGGCATAAAGCGTTCGATGGTGGGGTCATAGAATCTCTAGTAACTCTCTTTCAATCCTTACGTTATAAGAAACGGAAACTCGCGGGAGAATAGAGTGAGAGTTGATAACATAAGTCCCTATCGGTTCTAATGACTAATTGTCATCTTGAATGTTTGGGACAGTTTAAATCCGACGGTTCCGTGTGGTGAAAATCAGCATGAAAAAAGGCCAAGGAAAGAATCGCAACCTCTTAAGTCCAGCGACATAAACCCTCATAGGCAGAAGAGGAAATATCCATAGTCAATATCCCTCGTCTTAGACAACCAAGATTTTAACCAACCAAGATGCTCTCCACGCCAGTAAATCTCCCAAAGTGGTAAGCCAACAAGGTTCTCATGTGGTCTTGGCTCGACTAATAATAGCTAAGGCTTGAGGAGAACGCCCATCTCCTAAAACCACCCGTCAATAATTACTGTGTCTACAACGAAGATTTCACAGTCATGGTGAGCAAAGCCATTTATCAAACCTTAGAATTAACTCTACGGTTATAAGCTAATCTAATCCACGTACTTACTAGATTGTTGGTGGTCCCAACGCCCGGACCGACTACCATATCAATCAGACCCCAGAATGGTTCTACCAGTACAAGGGAGCCATGATGTTGAAGGTCGTTGACGATGGCAAATTCAGAGATATTATAATTCATGAGGGAGATATGTTTCTCTTGCCGGGTAATACACCTCATAACCCGGTGCGCTTTGCCGATACCATTGGCGTGGTACTTGAGCAGAAGAGACCCCAGGATACCATTGACCGTATGCGTTGGTACTGTCAGGAATGCAGTGAGATCGTCCATGAGGCTGCTTTCCACTGCACAGACCTTGGAACTCAGATCAAGGCTGCTATTGAAAAGTTCATGTCGAGCGAGGAGACTCGGAAATGTGGAAAATGCGGCGAGATAGCCAATTCTGTGCCCAAGCCTGGAACCATCGTCGACCCTAACTTAGGGTAAGGATTCACTTCATGTACTTGAGCTTTATAAATCCAATAATACATGTGTCCAAGCGTGTCAATGCCCCTCTTGAACAAAGTTCTATCACATGTCGCAACTACTCAGTACCCACGGACTTATAATGATGTTTAACTCAGAAGACTCATAAGCTAAAAGGGCACGTAGGCAAAGTGTATATATTTAAATATCTTTCACCCCCTTAACCAGGAACCTCGACTCTCCTAAGATATACAGCTACGAGATTTGCGATAGAACCAAGCGATTCGAACGATAACTATGAATAGTGCGCCGAGTGCTGTTCGACGAAGATATCTACGAAGGTCTTGTCTGGAGCAACGAATACGCTTGCCACCGCTCTTTTTATAAAAATTCAAGGTTTCAAATCGCTACTATAAATCATTGCAACTATGTCAAACACCGAGACTTCGGAATTATTACCAATTCGCAGAACCCATAGAAGCGCGAGTGCAGTCGTACAACCCCCTATACCATCAAATCTCGTCGCTATTCCTGGGAAATTCTCACTACTGGCGTCGCTACCAAGGGAACTTCATCTTCAAGTCATATCTTTCCTAGACCTCAACAGCGTAATTTGCCTTCGACGGACGGCCCGGCACTATTACCACCACTTCACACGCGACAACATTATATACTACTTTAGCGTAGATGGACAGCCTACTCCTGAGTTGCTTTGTTGCTGCATTAATTGCTTTCGACAATTCGACTACATCTTAATTTTCGATGAGGTGCGCTGGCCGAGCTCATGGAGCTCAATGTGCTCCCGATGCTTTCGTGTGGAGCGAAGTCCGGCCTACGATAGCAGAAACAAGCATACACAAATCATCTTTGCGTATGGGGAACATGGCCATGTCTGCTTCCACTGCGGCTGGCCCGTACATTGGGAACGAATGCACCGACCTTGTTACGAACGTGCAAAAGCTTCGTTTGACCATTTCATCCACATGAAGTGGCAGGACGTGTTAAACGTTATGATACTCATTCCGATTCTAACCGTTATATCCCATAGGATTCTGCCTACATCTGTTCTTTCCCCAGGATTCATGTTCTTTCAGGCTATACCTCCAGTGGTAGGTTTCTTTACATACGTCTTGCGCATATACGTGGCCACGGCTCGCTATGATAGGGGCTAACCTTCTATAGGTTGAAATTTACTCACACCTTCATAGTATGAAGAAAATTGTAGAAGAACTTAGTTACCGGAATTCGGAGCTCTTCTGGTATCCCCATTTTCTTATGGGCCCTATATTAGTTCTCCTTTGGTTGCCGTTAGTGATGCGAATCCTATATGGAGCGCTAATTAATTGGAACAACAAGCACGAGGTGGAAGGTAGTGCAGTTCTGGCCTGTTATTTCTTACTTAGACTGTAAGCTATTGTCACAACTTTATTATAGTATGTTTTTATGGTTATTTGTGCTAACATGCTGCCGCAGTTTGATACATGTTATGAAGACCATAGGTATAGCTATCTGGGCTTCAGGATACGATACTAGAAGCTGGTCTCTTCCACGATTACCATTCACACAAAAGCTCCGCTATATTTTTTATTCGTGGTTGGTAACATGGTGGACAATAAAGAAGCCATCGTAGTGAATGTCAAAGAGAAGATAGGTAATAGTCCATACACGCGCATGCGGGCGTATATTGGATTAGATACCTTTACTCAGTATTAACCTAATTTCTCACATAGTATTGGAAATAATACTTAAGAGATATATATATTAAGTAATCAATAAAATCATCGTATAACTCCAACCCTAGGTAGTCAAGCTCGCATCTTAATAAGTGGCCACCCCCTAGAATAACTCAAAGATCTACGGCGTATAGGCCCATAAGCAATAAAAAAAGATGCCTACTCGACGTACCGAAATAGTACAAATGATAGAAAATACATGTCCGACCAACCAGCAGGAAATTCCCACTCAAGTAGAATACATTATCTTAAGGCAAACCATAGGGGTCAGGCAAAATGTAGTATTCCGTGGTTAAAGGATAAGAGGTCTCCACAACCCTCTCAGCGCGGCCGGTATTTACCATATCGCTAAGCGGACCTATGTTGCCAGTACTCGCGAAGCATGCCCTAACAATCTTTGCCACTGTATAGTCCCCAGCTCGTACATTCGATGCCAGCTCTGGCCTGTGTTTCGAAAGTTCAAGAAGTGTACGACGGAGGTTTTGTCTTTGCCTTTCATCAGTTGTGCTGTCGACCTTCTCGAGCCCTTCGACAATACAGTTTAGATAATGCGGAGCGAACACTCGTATATCTCTCAGTAACGAAAGCGCAGTGCTAATACCTACTGTAGGATCGGTTAGCTGTAGGAATCTTTCGGTAGACAGATCCATATCTGTGTACACTTCATCGGGTAGGAATACGACAAGCTGTAAAATGATACATTTCACCATATCCAACAGCATCTCGCCTTTAGAGGGCTCCGGTTGGTGGTTGAGTGTTGACAGCCTAAGGGAGTAAAAGTAGAATACGTTTGGCATAAGTGCATTGTCAGATGCCACCTTGGCATATATAGCTTCCAGCGTGTTTCGACTAATAGGAGTCCGCAACCCATTCCAGGAACCTTGGATCCAGATCGTATCTTCACTGAAAGAATGAGTCCAGCTGTTGATTCGCGTTATAACATGGCTCTGAATTAACGGCTCCAAAGACGTGGTCTCTCGAATATACACATAAGTGCTATATTGATGGGAATATTCAGTTTGGATCGGACTGAGAGCCTGTAGGATATCCTCACGGACATACCAATTATAGTTGGAGAGATCGAATGCCTCCATTTGAATTGGATGTAGGCGGTTGATATTTTTTTTATAGGTTTGTTGTCGACAAGTCGTGAAGGGGTGTACAACGTGAAGATAATATTCGTTCGGGATATATCTTAGCGGAATAGTGGATGCTATTACGGTATCTGTCAAATGAATTTACGATAGCGACATGCACTCACCAGCCTCTGGAAAACCTTGTGTTTAAATGCCTTTTCAGCTCTGCTTTCATGTATCACAGTAATGACTATCTCAGGTACTTACTCAGAATTGCCCCTTTAATCCGTGTAGGTAGATAGCTGTTACATGTGTCAAGAGGTGGAACTAAACAGCATGGATACAACCTCGCTGTTTCGCAAAGAGTTCTAACTATTTAAGAGGCTCTAAGTCCATACATACCTCTAAGCCTGTTCTATGTTCTAGATGTCTCATCTAGAATCCTGACAATATGATTAATAGAGAGTCAGGCAGTTTAGTATGTGGATTACATCTTTGCCGTGGTTATTCTAATCATCTGAAGAAAATCCCAGTCACCAATTTGGAATAAAACTCTTGGGACTTTCATCATCAAACTATAGGACCATCCCTAGGATGATGGATGACTACCTACTCAGTACAAACATGATTACTCGACTTTTTAGAGTAATAGCTAGGTACCTAACACAACCAGTAAGCACCTCATCGTATATCTAAGAGAAATATCGGTCATTACATACGTGTATATGTAACATGGAAACACCGCTCACTTTCTCAAAGCTGAATCATTAATACAACTCAGAGCTTAAATATTACAAGTTCTCGAGGACTTAACAACGATCACGTACCATCATGTTCGAGCTTTTCCTACTTGTAACGGTCACGCTGTTAGTATCGTGTCTCTACGTAAGGCTAAGATATTGGCGCTTCACACAATATGCGTATATCCCACAGTTGTCAAATCACCTTTTCTGGGGACATCTCAATGTCTTTGGTGAATTTATGTATCGTGGAATCCTCGACCCCCACCCAGGTATGGTATAAGATGAGTTTGCCTGGGAAACCCCTGCTTCAAATGGATGAATTCGCACTCTCAACCATTATTCCCATTTCTAATAGCGGGAAGATTTCTGACAACTAGCTTGACAAAATCTTCGAAGAGATGTGGGAACTATAGGACGCCCTCCTGTAATGCTTGTAGATTTGCGGCCCATTAACCCCCCAATGGTTCTTTTACCCAGCCATGATGTCGCCGAGCAGATATCGAAGCCTATCAAGCTTTTCCCTCTGAGCGTGCCTAAGTCGCCAACTTGGACCTATATAACTCCTCTCATAGGTTCAACATTAATCTTAGGTAGAGAGATGAGTTTAAATATCTTGAACGATAGGAATATCTAACCAGCATTTTTAGGGTCATGACTGAAAGAATATTCGCAAAAGATATAATCCAGGGTTCACGACTCAACACCTGTGGAGCCTCTTCCCCCTTTTACTCAAGAAAATGGAGCCATTCTGGAACTACCTGGATCAACTCATAGTATCAGGGGAACAATTCTCCCTCGAGGCACTTATATCTACCTTAACCTTCGATGTCATTGGTGCTGCTGTACTAGCAGTAGACCTACATGCTCAGCATATAGATCCTTCTAAGCAAGGCGAACTAATCCATTTGTTCAGGCAATTTGTCCAGACGTATAACGATGATAAAAATAATCTCCCATGGTGGATCGCCCCTTTTACGGGGTTGAACCGAAATCAGTCAGCTGAGCGCATCGATATACTGATCAAGACTATAATACAACAGAAGTATACTGAGTTGAAAGAAGAGGCAGGCGGAAACAGATGGCAGAGCATCGTCGCGCTGGGTTTACGAGAATCTGAAGCATTGACGCCCAGCTTTTATCGGAAACGTCAGATTAAGTACGCAGTTTTCTATTTGCAGGCCACGACACAAACACCAGCGCGCTGCAATGGGCTTTCTACGAGTTGAGCCGCACGCCCCGCGCACTCAAGGCTGTACGAGACGAACTTGACGACGTTCTTGGACCCGAGCCAGACCCTCGAATAATATGTGCTACGTTTGCACAAAATGGAGATAGCCTCTTATCGCGCATATATTATATCTATGCTGTCATCAGAGAAACACTCCGCCTACACCTGCCTGCTGGTACCGTTCGAATGATAGAGCCTGGGATAGGCTTTACAATTCGTGCATCTACTGGTGAGGAGTACTACCTCGACGGTATTATAATGTATTCGTGCCAGAGCATTATCCAGCGGGATTCAGATGTTTATGGAGATACTGCGGATGACTGGGCGCCTGAGCGATGGCTCGACGAGAAAGTCAATAGCATCCCTCCCAGTGCATGGAGGCCATTTGAGAGAGGGCAGCGAGCTTGTATCGGTTCGGAACTCGCGAATCTCGAATCACGCGTTATAATTGCCATAGTGGCTCGTAAATATGAGTTTATCAGGACAGGCTCGGGTGAAAGCGTCCTGGATTAGAAGGGTCTTCCTTTGTTAAGTGAAAAGGGGCAATACAAATCCAAATCAGAATTATATAACGTGAGTTAGATTTCCACTCCACTATAACACATAGTTCCGTATTTTACATATCTATATGGATTTAGACACGGCGGATGACATCTCAGCTGGTAGATGGAACAGTAATGAAAGTTAGATTAGGTACTAGACTTTAAATATATATACGTACATCCTTTCGGGCTCTTATAAACCTACATAGCACCCATGTATTCGTCACTCAATCTTATATTAATGTGGTGTTAAGATCGTTCGTTCAGTATACTAGGCTAGGCACCTCCTATGAAGAGGGGCAAGCAGTTATATTAGGAATATAACGGTTGGTTAAATGCCTGTGATGCGTAATACGATTCATGTTCCAGGTCAACAACTAGAGTGGTAGTAGCTATATATATGCCGAAAATCAATCTAGAACTTGTTTGTATAGGTAAAGATGACCCGACGAATGTATAACAAAAGCCACAAAAGACACATCCTAAGAACTATGACGGGATAATCATAGCACATGTACAGTTTCAAATATTAGTAGATGTGTACTGTAACTACTACTGAGACGTCACGATGAGCTTGTAGTTATACTAATAGTATGATGTGGAATAGCTTCATATTTTACGGGATAACATTATTGTTCTCTTACTTTTCCCTTACACTGTCGTGTATAAAAGACATGGAAGAGCCTGTCGCACTGGCCTATAATGACTACAAAGGCATGGTCTTGCGTAGGTGCGAAGAAAAACGGTGATAAGGAAGCTGGGTTGCATAGGTAACAATAGATAAAATTACAAGACTTCCAAGACTGATTGCGTACCATTCTGAGACCTCCAGATCCTATGATCGAAGACCTGGAAAATTTCATAATGGAATTGATGCAGGGGTATCCAAAAGATGTGTGACAAACCTATACTTCAGTACATGTATAGTCGCGACTGTGTAGTCTTCATTTTAAGAGTTCATCTTCTAGTGAATCTAGGATTTGGACGAGTGAGCTGCAACTCCTTATACATATATAAACAATATATGATTTCTAAGGCTGCCAGCATTGCAACCTTCCCTCAGAAACCCCCCACTCTAAAAAAAAAATCTCATCCTAAGCTACAGCTTCCTAGCTACACCATGTTAGACCACTGTTGTGACACACTGCCAGAATTTTATTATTATTAGCTACCACTTATTGCTTAACTACCTACTTAAGTTCAGACAGAAGAGGGTTTCTCGCTGATGGCAAGAGATATGAACCGATCTAGCGGAGTAGATCCATCCGCTTGCACTCCTTTTTCTTCCATATCACGGTATATTTTATCGATATAATCACCGGCTGCTGATAAATGGAGGATATGGGCAATAGCACGGTGGAGAGCTAGCAGTCGAGGTGACGGAGGTTCTATTGTTCGTTCGGGAGTAAGATAAAGCTCACGGGTAATAGGAAATGCTGCTCGCCGGACCAAGTATCCGGGATAGAATGTTTTGATCGTATAAGTATGATCTCTGTTGGCAACGTGCTCAAAGTAAACCTGGAAATCACAGAATGACCGATGGTGATGAGCAGTAAGTGTAATAGCGTTACGTGGCCGGTCAATTTCAGGACCTTGAATTAGTTCCGCAACACCCACATCAAACATATTGAGGATCGCAAGTGCAGATTGTTTAGAATGATCCTAAAGGAAAAGTTTAGTTAAAGATACCGTCCGAGGAGAAGATACATACTAGTTCGCCTCCCTTATTGACTTTCGTGAGGGAGTGTGGCAGGATGTGGGCCACTTCCAGAAATTCCGGGTCATCTGGATCATTTTCTAGCAAGTTCCCTTCATCGTCTCGAGCGCCGCCAGGAGTATTACGGCGTTTCCATGCTTCGGCATGGTCAAATTTTCGCGATATTACACAACGATGACGGTCACGGATAAGACAGTCTCTCCGAAGAACTGACAATCGGGGACCGGTTCCAACATACTGTTGTCCGCCCTGTCCTTGTGCTTCTTGGACTGCAGAATGCAAGGCTGGGGAAGGCTGCGGGGTCTTCTTGGTAGAAGCTTTCACTAGGAGGTATTAGCAACTAAGCGGTGTAGCAGCTAAGTTGTAGCGAGGCTTTACCAGGCAAAAAGAAATTGTTGAAAAGATAATCCCCAAAGTCGAAGAATTTCGAGCGGATGTCTTCGAAATTGATAGGTTCATTTCCATCAATCCGAAGATCGACGGCTTGGAAGAAAGCGTGCAAGAAGTAATCCCTAGATTCTTGAGAAAGCGAATACGTATAGGTATAACGAATAAGCCGAGGACGGCTAAAGTCTCCCTGAGGTATCCCGGTGTCGAAGTGCTCACAAATGCTGTGGAGTCTACGGCTAGCATGGTCGCGCAGCTCCGTCTCCAAGGGTGGTTCCGGAGAAAAGTTGATGATGCCTTCAAGTGATGATTGGTGGCGGAGAAGAGGCGGTATCATTTTGCCTTATTCGAGTTTGAAAGAAATGTGCGTGGTGAAAAGAGGCGATGATAACAACAACGAGCACGTAAATGCCCGAGTTTACGAGGGATATTGTCTTAGGGTCTGGTTTACGAAGTAGGAAGTTCGTCTGTGCGCGAATTTTAGGCATTTTTATTAGGTACATCCCTAAAATAAGTGGAATTTTCCAAAGTCCCCACTTTTATCTTTTCTTAAAATACGTATCTTTTTACTTCCGAATCCCTAGGTGCCGAGCCTTTTTTTTGGGTATTAAAAGTAAGGGTTTCGAAGGTGTTATAGGTTAGGGCTTCGGGCCTTTTTCTTAGGTAACAAGTTCTCCTTTTAGGTGCCGAGCCGTGGGTGAAAATATCAAAAGTGAGTATATCGAGGTTAAAGTACCGAGCCTTTTTCTTGGGTGCCGAATCCTCTTTCAAAATATTCAATATATTTAACTTATTTTAATGTGCTAAAACTAGAGATTTAAGGAGCGGCGGGTTTCGCCCGCCTCCGTTTCCCGCCACAAAACCCATGGTTTATGTATTTATATTTATGGGTTATAAAAAAAGCGTTTTTCGAATTTTAATTTTAGCCGTTATTTAACATTTTAACTATATTTGATATACATTTTAAAGATTTAATAAAATTATATTAACAATAATATAATAAATAATAATAACGTTTAAAATATTTTTTATTTTAATTATTTAAAATTAATTTTTTATTTTTGTTATTTTTTTATTTTTTTTTATATATTTATATAATATTACGTTATAATATCGTAGGTTTTAACGTTTAAATAACTTTAAAACGTTATATTTACGCGTTTATATTTATACGTTTATATTTATACATTTATATTTACGCATTTATATTTACAACCATTTATAATTATATTTAAAATATTTTATATTTTAATTATTTAAAGTTAATTTTTTATTTTTATTACTTTTTTATTTTTTTTATATATTTATATAATATTACATTATAATATTATAAGTTTTAACGTTTATTATAATTATTACATTATAATTAACGTTATAATTAATATTATAATTAATTTTAACTTAAAACGCATACGTTTTATATATAATAACTTATTTAAATAATCAAATTAATATTTATTTTTTATATAAAAACTTTACTTATTATATTTTTAATTAATTTAATTATTATTATTATATTAAATAAAAAAAAAATATTTAAAATTATTTTAAATTAAAAATTTAAAAATATTTTAAAAAAATATATCAAAATATAATTAGTTGGAAAAAAGTATAATTAAAAAAGGTACTTTTTTTTTATTTTAATAAGCTTAAATTAAAAATTTAAAATGGTTTAAAAAAAGATTATTACTATTAATATACCTTCGTTTTGCTATCGGAAACTTATTGGTATACCTTATATAATAAGTATATCCCCACCAATTTTTTCAATTAAATCAACTATATTACATTTTAACCTTTCAACCTTTATAATTTATTTAATTTTGCAACCCAATATATAAAATTTATATCACTATTTTTGCTTTAATTAAAGTCTTTTATTAATATAAATATTAATTTAATACAAGCTTTTAATATAAAATTATTTAAGGATGTATAATAGTAATAATGGTGGTGGTTTTTGAGGATATTACGTGATATCTTTTTACATAATTATATTTATATTAAAATGAATATATATTTAAATAATTTTTAAAAAAACGTATATATTTAATTAAAATTTATATCGTTAAAAAGTTTTAATTAAAGTAAAAATAACAATATAAATCTTATATGTTAAATTGTAAAATTAAATAAGTTATAAAAGTTAATATATTTAATAAAACTTTAAAATAAGGTTTTATAGAAAACTCTTTTACGGTTACATTTATATTTAATTAAATATTTAATTAAATATATATATATATTCGAATAACTTTAAAAATAATATATATATTTAATTAAAAATTATATTATTAAAAAGTTTTAATTAAAGCGAAAATAACAATATAAATTTTATATATTAAAATACAAGATTAAATAAGTTATAAAAGTTAATATAATAGGTATTAAAAATGGGGGGATATATTTGAATATATTAAGTGTACCAATAAGCCCCAATAGTAAAACAAAGGTGTACCAATAACAATAGTTTAAAAAAAAATACCTTTTTTAACCACATTTTTTCCTAACCAATTACACTTTAACATACCCTTTTAAATCATTTTTAAATTTTTAATCTAAAATAATTTTAAACATTTTTCATTTAAACGGCCACATAATAATTAATTTAATTAAAAATATAATAAATAAAATCTTTATATAAAACAAATATTAATTTAATTATTTAAATAAGTTATTATATATAAAACGTATACGTTTTAAGTTAAAATTAACTATAACACCAATCGTAACACCGATTATAATAAACGTTATAATTTAAACGTTAAAACTTATAACATTATAATATAATATTATATAAATATATAAAAAAAATTAAAATATTTAAGCAATTAAATAAAACTATTGTTATTGGTACACCTTCGTTTTGTTATTAAAGGTTTATTAATACATTTTATATAACAAATATATCCCCACCAATTTTTTTAATTAAATCAATTATATTACATTTTAACCTTTTAACTTTTATAACTTATTCAATTTTACAACCTAATATATAAGATTTATATCGCTATTTTTACTTTAATTAAAACTTTCTATTAATATAAATATTAATTTAATGTAAGTTTTTAATATAAAATTATTTAAAAATATATAATGGTAATAATAATAGTGGCTTTTAAGGATATTATATAATATCTTTTTACGCGGTTATATTTATATTAAAATAAATATATATTTAAATAACTTTCGAAAAAATGCATGTATTTAATTGAGATTTATATTGTTAAAAAGCTTTAATTAAGGTAAAAATAATAATATAAATTTTATATATTAAATTGTAAGATTAAATAAATTATAAAGGTTAATATATTCAATAAAACTTTAAAATAAAGCTTTATAAAAAGCTTTTTTACGGTCGCATTTATATTTAATTAAATATTTAATTAAATATATACATATATTCAAATAATTTTAAAAATAACATATGTATCCAATTAAAAATTATATTATTAAAAAGCTTTAATTAAAGTAAAAATAATAATATAAATTTTATATATTAAAATATAAAATTAAATAAGTTATAAAAGTTAATATAATAAGTATTAAAAATGGAAGGATATATTTAAATATATTAAGTGTACTAATAAGCCCCGATAGTAAAACAAGGGTGTACCAATAACAATAATCTTAAATAAATAACTTTAAATTAAAAAATAAAAAGTATTTTAAACGTAATTATAAATACAAACGCGTAATTATAAATATAAACGTGTAAACGCGTAAATATAACGTTTTAAAGTTATTTAAACGTCGAGACTTATAATATTACAACACAATATCGTATAAATATATAAAAAAAACGAAAAAATAACAAAAATAAAAAATTAACCTTAAATAATTAAAATAAAAAATATTTTAATATAATTATAAATAATTATAAATAGTTATAAATATAAACGCGTAAATATAAACGCATAAATATAACATTTTAAAGTTATTTAAACGTTAAAACTTATAATATTACAACGTAATATTATATAAATATATAAAAAAAATAAAAAAGTAATAAAAGTAAAAAATTAACTTTAAATAATTAAAAATATATATATTTTAAACGTTATTATTATTTATTATATTATTATTAATATAATTTTTATTAAAAATTTAAATTTATACCAATTTGTTTTATAATATATAAAATTATTTAAAACTAAAATTTAAAAAACGCTTTTTTTATAACCTACAAATATAAACATATAAACCAAAAGTTTTATAATACAAATGGCAAAAACAAACAAAACCCGCCGCTTTTTAAATTTTAGTTTTAACACATTAAAATAACTTTTTTTTAAACCATTTTTAAATTTTTAATTTAAAGTTATTAAAATAAATATTTAACTATATAACTTTTATAAATTTAAATTATTATAATAGTTTTTTAAAATATTTTCTAATATATTTGAATTAAACAATGTTAATTTAATAAAATAACAAACCCGTTTTTATTAATAAATAATACGTTAAAAAAACAATAACTTTAACTTATTTTAATATATTAAAATTAAATTTAAAAAGCAATAAAACTTCGCCCGTTTTTGTTTTCCTTGTTTATTAACGCCATAAACGTTATAATACCTTTGATTTATATATTTATATTTATAAATTATAAGGGAGGCATTTTTTAAATTTTAATTTTAATTAATTTTATATATTTTAAAATAAATCAACATATATTATATATTTAAATTTTTAATTAAATTTTTAATAAAATTATATTAATAATAACATAATAAATAATAATAACGTTTAAAATATCTTTTATTTTAATTATTTAAAATTAATTTTTTATTTTTTTTATTTTTTTATTTTTTTTATATATTTATATAATATTACGTTATAATATTATAAACTTTAACGTTTAAATATATAATAATTTTAAAATGTTATATTTATACATTTATATTTACGCATTTATATTTATAATTATTTATAATTATTTATAATTATATTTAAAATATTTTTTATTTTAATTATTTAAAGTTAATTTTTTACTTTTGTTACTTTTTTATTTTTTTTATATATTAAACAAGTATAATATTACAATAACATCGTATGTAAAAATTTATTATGTAATTTTAACTTTTAAAATTATATAAAATTTTTAAATCGTTACATTTTTTTAATCATTATCATCGATATTAATTCTTTTATCATTAATAATTAACAAATAAATATCATTTATATTTATTAATTTTTTAATTATTTACATTTATTATACATATTTTTTTTATAACAAATATATTTGTTTTTTTTTTAAATTTAAACTTTATTTTTAATTAATATAATCCTTTTATATATTTGAAAGTAAAGTGTTATTTTTAACTATTAAAAATA